GTGTATCGGTACCCTGGGGGTATCCGTATCCTTTTTGCATTCGATGTTTGAGGTGTATCGATACCTCTTAAAAAGTATAGTACATCCCTATTTAAAACTCATTTTTGACTCAATTATGGTTCGAAATACTTTGTAAAAATTGTCTCAAAAATATTTAAGAGTGTTTCACTCTTTTACACTTAAGTAAAGAGTAAAATTGGTATTTGAAAACTTGGAGTAATATTTGTGATATTTGATTAATTGAATCGAATATTATATTTGAAATTGAATATAAAATCTTAAAATTCATTTTCACTTTATTTGTTATATCAAAACATCAAAATGTTTTAAACAAAGTCTATTGCCAATGGTCGAACAGATGCACACAGAGGTAACATATAATATGGTTAGCTGGTACATGAGGGAAATGAGAATGGACAACGACTGCCGGATAGGAAAAATGTGTATGCAAAAAAACCTTCTGTCGTTGGTCTCATATGCTGAAATGTTAACGGAGTTGCCATATGCTAAAATGTCGACTGAGTCGAGTGAGTTAATGTAGGTGCCATCAGTGGTTTCTGATGCTCTGTAGGTGTATGTTATTCCCAATGATGAAGCTTGAGCATGTTTTCGTCTACCCGACTTGTACCACATTACATCAGGGGATGTTGATCAGTGAATGATTTTGAGGAGCCCTATAAATTTCTCGTGCTCGCTCCTCCTCGGTCATAATATGTGGCATCCCATTTTGCTTATACCATGACATGTAAACATCTAAAACATCGTAAGCCAAGATAGGTTTAGAAACAGGTTGCCTAACGAACTTCGACATCCATTACATCATTAAATCCACATGATACACCTCCCAATTAACATCCGTCTTCCCCTGTTGCGTCAGGCGATGTAAGGCGTTATCCAAGGTTGTTGGTGGTGGTTGAATCGTTTGGACACGACCAAATTGTTGCAACACGCGATCAACAAGATGGCACTCGACGATCTCATAGATTATCAATGGGACCACTGACATCTAAATGTACGAACTGTGAAGTATCTCATCTAGAGTACACACTCTAATAGCACCGTTAATATACGACGTTCACATGAACTACACAAATATTTTTAAACTATGTTATAAAGACTCGAAAAAAAATTAATATTTAATTTACAAATTAAAATTATAAAATCGATTACCTCATCTATCATCTTATCGATCGACAATCTAAAATCACATAGACTTTGCGGTAGGTGGGAGTGACTAAGTGCAACGGTCCACCTATAATTCATATAATAAAATATCATTATTTGTAAAACTAAAAAAACATGTAGTAATAAATATATAAACGTAAGTTATTTGTAATTACCTACGAAACAATAGAAATTGTAATGGGGTCGGTTGTGTAGAAATCGGCGCTAAAATGACATTCGAAACCAAGCCTACGATTATAACAACATCAAATAACCATCATCTGTTTGTTTGTTCGAATGAACAAATTTACATAGCTCCCAAAACTGAAAGGCCAACATTATCGATCCTTAACTCTTATTTTTAGCAGCCCGCAAATCGCGTAGATGATGCAACCACATCAGATGTACTTTGTTTCGAGATTTATCAGGCATCAAGGTCCCCCCAATAACTTTTAAAAATATGAGCGCGAGCGTATTGATGTAAAATAAAAATTGTGCGAATATATTAAAAATTTATCGTCAAAAAATTACAATAACATAAACTAAAACAAAATTGAAATATTATAAATAAATAAATTAAACTAAATAAACATAGATTTAAAAAATTGCTTGTTTAATTTCTGAAGCAACATCGACGGAGGGCTGCGTAAAATTGTCATCCAAAATTGTAATGTAGATCTTCTCTTCATCTAAATCACCATTTGTTAGAGCAAGTCCGAGCAGCATCTCACACAAGCTTAGCTAGTCCCCATGAGCCATATCGGTAATAGGATTTTCATCAACAGGCAACCCAAGATTGTATGCGACATCTTCAAGGGTAATAGTTACCTCCCCACAAAGAAAATAAAACGTGTGTGTTTTCGGTCTCCACCGTTCAAGGAGCACGTTTATCAATAGAGGGTGCAACTTCGTACCATCAGTTACAGTGCCAACGTAACCAAAACCAACTTCGTGCAAGTATGAAGTAATATCATCATCAGAGGTTGGGAAAAGATTGATAAAATACTTCAACGAACGCTCATATATCTTCAAATAAAAAGATAATTTTGAAACAAACAAACAAATAAACTTGAAATAAATAAATAAATAAATAATTTGAAATAAATAAATCAAACAAACAAACAAAATTATTAAAGAAATAAATAAATTATTCAAAATAATTAAAAAATTTACAACAAATTAATAAATAAAAATTATCGGTGGATTATCCCGCCACTAGGTACATACATGCGGAAGATCAACACTCAGTAGTCCCGCCGTAATAATATTAGAGAGAGAATACGTGAGAGACAATTTTTTTAATGAACGTGTGAAAAATTCGGGTGGGGAAGTCCTTGCACTGCCCCTAAAGCGAGGTAAATGGTACCTCGCGTTCTATGAAGCGCGAGGTACAATGAATTTTTTCAAATTTTAAATCTCGAAATTTCTACGAAATATTATTTCCCAATATCTCGAGGACCTCGTGTTCTGGGAAACGCGAGGTACTAAATAATCATATTAAATTGGGTAAACTAAAAAGTTCAAGGTACCTCATGTCTTGTAGATCGCATCTCACGTTCTGGGAAATGATAGGTACTAAATAATCAGATTAAATTGGTAAACTAAAAAGTGCAAGGTTCCTCGCGTCTTGTAGAACACGAGACATATTCACGTGTTGCGTAGGACGCGAGTTAGTCTTATGTGTGCACTTTGGGGTTTTTTTATAACAAATTTGCTAATAGGGTTATTGTTCAAAAAAAATTAATGAGGTTTTTTTATTTAATAACGCCTTTGCATAAGGGTGTTCAATCGATCGATTCGGTTAACCGACTAAGCTGAACCAACAAAAAAATCATTAACCAATTTTTTTTACCTTTAATCATTAATAGAACAAAAAAATTTCGAATTTTTTTAACCGAACCGAACAAAGTTCAGTTAATTTAGTAGGTTAACCGAATTAACCAAAATCTTAAATAATATATATTTTAAATTAAATATTTAATATTTTTTTCATTAATTCGGTTAATTCGATCAGTTAATTTGGTTAAAACCGAAATTTAAACACTCCTAAAGCTAAGTAATATAAAAATAATATATTAAAAATTTTAAAAATTTGATTAATTTAGTTAATTAACCGATTTCGAACTTGATTAACTGTAATCAAACTTTAAAAAAATCATTAACCGTTAATAGACCGAACATAAAATTAACCGACCAATTAACAGAAAAAAATTCAACTAAGTCATTTAATCGGTTAACTGATTAAAGAACACAACTTCATTTGCATATATGATTTGAATAGCCAACGATCTCTCTGTAATCATAACATAAAGTCCACAGTGCGTTTCCGTTTATCCTTGGGCCGACAGTTGTGCGTTATTTTGCATGATGGGTCAAAACGGTTTTTTTTGTCAATAGGATAAATCTATGATATTTGTTACAATGACTTGAAATTCATCATATCGAGATAACAAGTTATCATAAAAATATTTTTTATTTAATCTTTTTATTCTAATGTGATAAAATTTTAAAATTTTATATTTTATTAAAACTCATCACCTCGATATTATGAATTTAAATAAAAAAATTATTAGAATTCGTCATTTCGAAATGACGAGTTTCAACACTATAAAAAAATCATATATCCCAAAATAAATTTACCCGTCTAATTTTCCGAATTTGTTTCCCGATTTACCCTTTTGGGAAAAACCGTGTCAAACTGTCTAAACCACACCTTCCATTGAAAGACAAAAGGTTGAACTTCACTTTATTTTGTATGAGGTTCCCTCCCCTTTCTTTTTTGCTTTGATCATCATTATAGTTGTCTTGTAAGCCACTACATTTTCTACCTTCCAACCCCCATTTTTCATCTTAATAATAGAGTTTTCAAAACTCTTCCTCCTCCTCTTCCCTGCTAGCGAATGACAGGGTTGATTGGTTTTCATGTTTAGTCACACAGGATTGGTGTTCTGCGTTCTCTGTAAGTATGCTGCCTTGCTTTACATTGCCAACTGTTGCGGTCGTCTAAGATTTCAAATGATCGTATATTTTAAATATTTTTTATTAATAATCTATTTTCGCCTTCTAACGTTAAATCTCGCGTCTGTCCTTGACTGCATCATGTTTTCAGCTGTGTAACTTTAGATTTCATGGTGCATGAATTCAAAGAGAGCTTATACAAGGAAAAGAGCCAAGAGCTTAATTCCACACCAAAAGACAAAACACATCTTAACTCAAATCATATGGAGTTCCATTACATTAGAAATCAGAATAGAAAAACCACAAATTAAAAACTTATACTATACCCTCTGGCTGGCTCTGCACACCCCAAAACATCAAGGGCTTAACCCTCATCTTCTGTTTCTTTTTCTTTTCTTCATCTGTTCTTTATCATATGTAGGCAACTTGCCAATGTATTACTTACACTCTAAGGATTTCAGATAGTAGGTTCTGTACATGATTACAAGACAAGAACAAAAAATAGAGCTGAAAGATGCGATGAGAACACCCGAAACCGTTCGGATGAGACAAAAAACGAAAGAATCAACACACACTAACAAGCACACACTGGTTTTAATGCGAGTATTAAGGTAGTACTCTCTAGGAAATTAGAGGGAAAAATTAATGAAACTCATGACATCTTACTGGATGTGTACGAGAAGCTAGAATGCACCAAAACATTCTAACCAAGGTTTCTAGGTATGCAGATCATTTAAGGCCTTGTAAAATTCTAGGCCAAGACGGCTGCAATGCTTGGACAGAAAAAAAAATGGATGAAAACTCAAAATGGGCGATGTTGCCGATGGGAGTAAATGATGAGATATGTGGACGATAGACTGATATGTTTGCTGTGTAAGAGAAAATCATAGTTTTTTATAGACTATGGAGGAGGGCTCGTTTGCAAGGTGGTGGCTGTGAAAGATTATTTGGATTAGAAGCAGGGGACTCCATTCCAAGTGTCTTAAGTAGGAAGTTCCTTTCCTGAAAAAGAAACAAAAACTTGGTGGTCATTATGTATTGTAGTTTCATATGACATGCTTATATGCATGTGCATGCTTTCATGTCTAGTTTAGATTATAGAAAAGAAGAAACAATACAGGTAAAGACGATGAGCATTAACAAAATCCTAAAACATATTTTTTAAGGTAGTTACTTAGAAAAACTACAATCCAGACTATAACTTGTATGAAGTATGATTCAGTTAACTTGTTTCCTTTTTATAACTATCAAGGATCACTATGATCAAAGCTTACTTAGGCAATGACCAAGATCTTCACTTAGTTTCTTAGCATTTTTCTTAGAACTTAGACAGGCCACTGTATATATAGATGATGAGATCTAGGCAATAACTCTCAGAAATTTCCGGATGTGCTTGAAGTATAAAATACTCATCTGTCAATAAAATTTTTAATGATTAGTCAATTGGTTGTTGCATCCTTTAACTGCATAAGGTCACAACTCTACTAAAACTGCCGACGGAATCACGATATGGAGAAAGATAATAAGAGCTACTACGTGCCACTGCAATTTCTATTGATGCTACCGCTCCATCTATTAAATGGATCTATAGTTGGTATACGAGAGAGTTGAAGATAATTTACACTTTCTGAAAATTTTGGGCTGGGAATTCCTGCTGCTAGGGATCTGAAAAGTGGGTTAACTTGAACTGGGGAACTGAACACTGCACTCGATGAGGTAGAAGCAACTATCATGCTTGTTTGGACATCAGAGGATGTGATTATTTCAACTGTTGAAACATAAACACATTCAGTTAGAAACATCATTCCGGCTTATTTAACCACTGTATGGTGATAAACAAGGGATTCCAAGGCCTTTATACCAGATATAAGAATTTCATTACCATGATCTGTGTTTGCACTGGAAAGAGCCCTTTTTTCCTCCTCAGTCCCGCAACTCTGCTCTCCAATATGATCTGACATTATATCCGGGTGCAGTGCATTTATTTTCGATTGAGTTTTTTCTCTGCTTTCCCCAGCCGGATGAGGCATCTGTGTTGACCCTGTGCTATATTCAGAGCTGGATGGAGACACCTCATAGAGATCAGGTTGTCTACAAAATATCAATCGTCGGTTAGTATTGTGTAAGGAGTCTTACTAAATCTGAACTTCAAGTCAACTGATTTATCTCTTACCTCCAAGATGGTTGACTTCCCTCATTACTACTCCTTAAGTCCTCTAGCAAGTCTTTGAAATCTTCGATTTGAAAATCAATATCAGAGATTGTATATCTCAAGGTGTCATTTTCTTTACTCTGATTCAAAAAATCTTGGAGGACCTGAATATACATTTATTAGGATGAAGGTTAGGTACGTGCAAAGCATGTATTGGACAATATAAGCCCCGATACTTGAGATTTAGCAATATTAAGAAACCACATGTTGATGGTATTGGATGTTGAATTGTTTATAAACCGAAAACAATATAGAAACTAAAATTATATCTTACCTTCCAAGCATTTTCCAGACTCTGTTCTGTATTGTCTGTATTAACCTTCAATGCGAGTGAACTGAGCAGCTCTGCTTGCTGCATCAAAGCAGTTATCTTAGGATCATCCTTCTTGAGAAATGTTCCTTCAGTTCTATAATTCTGAGCTGCGAATGAAGAACAGAGAAAAAGAATGTATGTGTTATATTATGAAGGTTACAAAAGAATAGAAGATCGAATATATACAGTTTTGGCTACAGTGAAAAAAGATTAACTATCGTAACATCCATCTTTGCAGGTGATTTACCATCATTAGAGACCACATTGACCTTGTTGACTTGAGATTGCATCACCAAGTTATTAGCATTGTGGATATTTTGACCCAATACAGCAAATGGATGTCTTATCTGCTGATTGATTACTGTCCCAGATACCCTATGTGCTCTATCTCCAAAGTTGCAATTTTCAGCGAGATTGGGAATGTGAGATCTCCTGGAATGGAAAAAAGAAAAGATTTTCAACTCGAGCAATAGTTCCGAGTCCTTTCTATGTCGATACATTTGTACATTATGTTATGGTACCTTATTCTCTTAATAGGAGCAATACAATCAGTCGTTCCATCTGTATTGAACCCGTTTTCGAGTAAAGTTCTTTTGTTATTTGGATTCGTACATGAATTACTGTTCTCTTTGGCTAAGGCTTCATATTTGGCTCTCTTCTTGCACAGTGTGGAGAATCGATTCTTAACGGCGTTATCGGTTCTGCATTACCGACATGATCAGTAAAAGTTAACAATCTACAACAGAAAATGGAAAAATGATAGCAGAAAAGATACGACTTTTTGCCACAAAAGCCACATATATATAATATATGTATAAATATACCTGCCTGAAACCACCTTTGCTATTTCTGTCCATCTATTGCCAAATAGTTTTTGAGCCTGCAAATCACCTCAAGTCATCAGCTCAGAAGCCACACTCAAGGATCTACACCAACACTTTTCCAAACTGAAACTAAGTCCTACACTCCTACTTTTGAATGAAAATGTGTACCAGTAACATGCTATAGCCTGATACAACTGATCAATGAAAGCAACATTTCCTCCAATATATATCACTAGAAATAAGTTGTTGAAAAATTCATTTGAAGTTTACTTATCGGAAGAAGAAGAAAGTACAGTGGCTCCATTTAAACTTGAAGGAAAATGGAGGACAAACTTGTTGATTACCTCACATAAAAGCATATCTTCCTCTGGTGACCATCCTCCTTTCTTGAAATCAGAATTCAAGTATGTGTACCATCTGCGTTTTCATTGTGACAAAGACATCAGATTAGATCAACAAAAAGAATCAAAAACAAAAAGAGGATCAATGAACTTTTTGGAATCATCATGGTTTCAGTTTCACCAACCTCCTTCTGCACTGCCTTGTGGTTTTATCCTTGAATTTGGAGGCAATGATCGCCCAGCTGCACTCAAAGATTAAAAAAAACGTAGACAAACTCCTTCAATTTCATTTCATGGTTAAACAAAATGGCAAACACTTTGAAATGAATGAAACAAAGGCTCACTTTTGAGTTCCATGTAAACTGATTTGTTCACGAAGTATATCATCTTCCTGCAATCCATCGCATTAATAAGAAAACCCCCCAAAAAAACAAAGAATCAATCAATAAACAAAACAGAGGGTACATCAAAGAAGAAGAAAACCATTTAAAAAGAAGAAGAGAAAACCTCTTGAGTCCACGTCACGATATGACGCTCCTTCTTCTTGGAATCTTCATTGCCACCAGCTCCACCATTCTTCTTCTTCCTTGTTTCCTGCATATTTTTTTATTTCACTCAAAGTTCTGTGTTTCCCAGTCCTTGACGCTCCCTTCCCTTTTATTAAAACCCAAGTGGCGTATATACTCAAAAAGCCGACCCTTTTACAAACCCTTTATAAATATATATATATACACACACTTCCACTTCACTCTCTTTTATCCTTTTTTTTAACAACAAAACTCACTGTTGGGTTCAAACGGAATCCATAACTCTATGCTTGATTTCCCTCTTCTACTACATTTTTATTCCTCGGATGCTAATACTTAGAAACCAGGATCACAACGTCTTCACCAGTTAAATGCTGACTAAAAAGATTGGGCTTTGGGGATTCAAAAGTACATGTATATATGTACAATCGAAAAAGGGTAGATCTAAAATGGATAAAAGATTCAAACTTTGAAGAGAAAAATAAGGAAAAACGAAAAGATCTGTCCTAATGAAAGATACATTTTTGGAAAGAAAAAAAAACTTGGTGAAAAATGGGAAAATAGGGTTAAAATATTGATTTAAATCAACGGATTCTTGCGCGGGTATGAGGGAGAGTTTGAAATATTAAAAAAGAGAAATAAATAGCACCGAATTTCATGACGCTGTTGTTGGTGTTCTTAATGAATGCCCTGGATACTATCCCCCACTGTGCTCCTAAAGCAAAACCCTATTTCTGAGTATTATTTTATTTTATTACTATTATTATTTCATTTAATAATTTATCTCTCTGAATTATCAATTGTGATGATATGCATGAATCCTCATCTTCCTCGCGTTACGGTTCTTTTTTTATCTCATTTTCCATTTAAGCTCATTCGTTTTCTAATTTTAGAGGGTGAATTTTAGTTTTCAAATTTGTAAACGATTATCAATCGCAAGACATTCACGTGAAGAAAACGCGTGCCTTTATTGGATTTATTGCCGATGTGTCGGTCAACGTTGCAGGTCTTCATTGGGTAGTGTAGTCCACGTGATTTCTTTACCATGTTGCCAATTTTCTGACACGATTCGTTTTCCTTTTGAGTAAATTATGCGTTTAGTACCTAAACTATAAGTTTTAGTCCGTTTTAGCGCCTAAACTTTTATTGTTTCAAAATATACCTAAAATTTAGTTCTTATTTCATTTTAGTACCTATATTTAACGTTAAGTTTTGAAACATATTGAAAGTTTAAGTACTAAAACGGATTGAAATTGATAGTTTAGGTACTAAACACATTAAGTTTTTAACGACGGGTACTAAAATGAAACAAAAATTAAACGTTAGGTATGATTTTGAAATGTAATAAAACAGAGAAAAATTTATAGTTTAGGTATTAAATGCTCAGTTTACCCTATTTTTTTCTTTTTCTGTTGTGGTGTGTGTAGAGAATGAGTTGGGGTAGCATTGATGGCATGTTCACCCTTTGTTTGTTAGTTCGATAGATCATGTGAAGCATATAAATTCTATTTAGATCTTAGAGGGAAAATCCAAAATGAAAATCAAAACTAGGAAACTTGTCTCCTTGCTTCTTGTTTTGGATATTGAAAATATTACACAAAATGAATACAAACATCTCGTCTTTTTTCAGTCCTCTACATACTCAAGAAAATGACAATATACATTCCAAATGGAACATTTTTACCTTGAACAATCTAGTTAATAAAAGAACCAACTTTGTTTTCATAGGTTAAAGTACCTAAATGAATGACTAATTAACAAATGAAGGTATTGGGTTGTTGGTAAAATAATAATGTAAACAAGTT